GCAATACACCAGAACTTGATAACAACACCATCAAAGAGAAGTACAATAATTTTGAGTTTGATTATGTGCTTGGAATCGATCCAGGAGTTCGTACATGGAACGCCACCGTTCGCAAACACGTTCGATCCGGCAACGAGGTAAGAAACAATAAATTCATTCTTTATTCATCATTTGTTTACTTCTGTGATTTTTTGTACGTAAATCTCAGGAAAACATCACAATTGATGGTCCAAAATACCATTTCAAAGCGAAATATAGCAAACGCAAGCGTAAATCCGATCAATGGACTGAATTGTTGCAAAAACAACGGGAGCTCGACTATAAACGCTATGCATTTTTTCCATCGCCGAAAGGACGTTCACATTGGATGTGTTACATCGCTTATTATGTGAAAATGATGAAACCAGCTATGGCGGTGTACACAACAAGAAAGTTTATTCGACTCCGTCTTGATAAATACATCGAAGAGAATCGGGCCAGTGACAAAATCGCGGCATCACTGACGAAAAAAAAGTCGGCGCTCGTTTTTATTGGTGCAGCTCAAATAGCTCCAAACTCACCAATTGGTATTAAAAAGCGATTGCGATGCCCGGGATTACGACGACTATTGAACAGTTTCAAGAAGTTGGGGAATTGTATTGTACGATTGGTCGACGAATACAATACATCGCAAACTTGTGCAAAATGTTTCCGGCCATTCGATCGACGAACCAAAAGCGATCGATACAAAGTTTGTCAGCATTGTATTCCAAGTGAAGATGAGTCATCGCAATGGAATTTACCGAACGTGATTATCACCATGAAAAGCAACCGAGTGTACCAACAATTGCGTAAATATGCAGTTGATTTTGTTAATCGATTGAATGCAGCCAACCCAGATCATATTCCAATCGATTCAGATGGTTTAGTGTCAAAACTTCAAGTATGTTTCAAAAACTGGCAACTAAACACTGGCATTTGGAAAGATGATCGAGCTCCATTTCAATTTAAAACCTACAAAGGTGAAAAAATATCACTGAAATTAAAAATGTTTAAGAATTTTTTGGCTAACAATTTGTTGTTTACGATTTTGTTTTTAGGTCTTTGTACGGTGTTGGGATTGGACATTCATCCGCAACTATTGAGACCACAGAATCAAAATGCTGCCGTACAAAATCAAGCAGCTGACGATGAGGATTCCAGTGACGATGAGGACTACGTTTATGTTCTCGATGTTTCCGATGACGACCAGTTTTAATTACATGTAGCATTAAGATTTCTTTTTAAATAATATTATTGTAACGTTTTGTTACTATGCTGGGCTTGAGTTTTGTGGCCTTGACCGAAGTACGGGCAGTTCGGTATATAAAATAACTCGTAGGTGAGTATCATTTATTGAACTGAACCGATAGTATATTGATGTTGATTCATACTTAGTAACTGAGTTTATTTTTTCTCTTTTTTCTTTCCATTGCGATGTTGAAAATGACTGAAACTACACTCAAATCCGACCCTTATATTGACCATATGCCCGATAATGGGTGAATTTGCAATACTAAATTGTTCTTATATAATTGTTCCTATAAAGGAATAATAAAACAATATCACAATGAAATAGTTATAATACATTTTATTAATAAATCAAATTCAAGGAAAGCGCCATCTTTAATTCATTTTTTATATCAATAGTAACGCATTTGACACATGGTGGCCATATTGAAGTTAATATTTTTTTGTATAAGGTTGTCAATATTTTTCATGACAATTCTCAATTTTCTACAGAGACAGAACGAGTTTGTACTACTTCTATAAGTTGAAGGAAAAAGGAATCAGAAAGAAAATAAAATGATTGGGCGTTCGATTATCTTGGGTCGCAAATTATTATTACCGCAAAACCAACTTGTCCGATACGGTCATTCACATGGGGGAGTTCCAGGAGAGGTATTTAAAGTTTTTATATCAAACAAAAATTGTATTACAAGCATTACATAATCTGTACTGAATTCATTTTTTCTCTTAACTCCAAAGAATCTCCCTTTCCAATTGAAAAACATTTATCGTTTGACTGCTTGGTTTGCTGTTTTCTTTGGATCAGGTTTGGCACTTCCATTCTTGGTCTTAAGACATCAGCTTAAAAAACAATAGATATTGAAGGTAGTTTATATAATATTTATTTACAGATTTCTACATAACCTCAATAGTTATGATTATTGCATACTTATTTCATAGATATAATTTCGAATTCACAGGTTTTCTATTGGACAACATACATAGAAATTCTATAGTAATAACTTAGTCTAATAAAAGCTGTTAAAATGAACATCCAATTGAAATAAAACAACATTCAAACCTGACAAAGATTCAAAATTTAAAGAGTTTTATTTAAACGATAAATAAATATATAAATGATTATGAATGTCATATAATATTTTTCATTTATTAAATCAATAAAAAACATCATTAAGAATGTCTTAACCTTTTATTCAGACAATCAAATTTTTTGACGTTGATTGAAATGTCAAAGCTATGTTTCACTTTGTAGGAGATATGTTTTTGACACATGTTCATCAGTATAAATATACGTAACCATCTCAACGATATTTTCAGACTTCAGAGTTTTTTGCTGACGCGTGTTGTGTTAGAAATATTTGCAATTTTATATATTTGGAATATATAAATTGACTTAAATTAAAAAATGATTATATATTACAATAAAGGAAATCCTTACGGATTAAAAGTTGAAATATGCGTTCGAGCCTCTGGATCCAATATAAAAATTCAGGAATTCACTTCAGGAGGTAATTACCATTGATTCCGAATCTAACGCAAGTTAATACCTCCAGTAACATAAATGAAATCTAATAATTGAGAAGTATGATTTGAGTTCAGAAACTCAATTTCAAACCCATTAACCTCAAAAACTAAGAAGAAAAAGATTAAAATGATTGATTTATGAAAAGTGTCCATTATTTTTTTTACTCTTCTGTCTTTCAAAAATAATTAATTAATTGTTGTACGACTTTAGGACCTTTGTTTTATAGTATTTTATATTTCTTCTTTAGAACTTGGGAATTACAGTTTTCCACACTTTCCATTGCTTGAACTAAATGATGGAAATCATATTTTTTCGACTGATGCAATAATCAAGTTTCTATTGCCCAATGAGGAATCTCTGGAATTAAGAGATCAAGTAAGTTTGAAATATAATATTCACAGATTTATATTTAAATTTATTCAAATTTATTGTGCATTTTAGTGGTTGGAATGGTGTTCAACACGTTTGGCTCCAGCTATTATAGCCAAAAACACGATGGGACACCAAGAACAAGTCCAAGCCGACTCTATTTTGAATCATCTTATATTACAGTTGGACCAACAATTGACTCAAAAGAATACATTATTTTTAGTTGGATCAAAAGCCACTTCAGCTGATTTTAGTATTTGGAGTTTTTTGGCTCAAGATAAAACGACATTAAAACTACCTAAAGTACATGAATGGTTCAATCGTGTTGCTTCTGAGCCATGTATAAAAACATTGAATTTGAAAATCGATCAAATGAAAATCGATGTAACAGCTGTATCCAACGCAAATAAATTCGGTGGTAAGTTCCATATTATACTTTATAGCTATAAATAAGTCTAGACTACATATATATAGGAACAATTGGTAATGCAAATTCACCCATTACCAGGCACAAATTTACGGTCAAATTTGGACCCAGATTTGTGTGTAGTTTCAGTCATTTTCACGGTTGCCAAAGCATAACATTCAGGTGTGAATACATGTAATAGAGGAACGACAATCATTAGTATCAATTGAATTGTATATGGAAAATCTGATTTTTAATTAAAAACTTTACTCGCCTATGGGCTCCTTCCCTCCGTACTATAGTTGTGCTGTTCTTATGAACGCATATTAAGGCCACAAGATTTGTGTAACACGTTATAATATTTGTTTTATCTAATAATGTATTGATTCAATGCTGCTGTTTGTCAGTTGACATTGTTTGGTGGTCTTCTCAACAATCAGGCACTAGTACTCCAAACATAAGACAAAGTCCTGTGTAATTTGAAGCAAAAACATTAAAAAATGAATAGACTCTATTGTCAATTGATTCATACCTTTGGGCATAATGCATTTTGCAGCAACAATCTCGCGGTGCCAAACAACTGTTTGTGGAGCAGCATCACCATTCTGAGCATTTAATGGCCAATTTTTGTATTTAACAATAACCTTTGACATTAAACGCCCATTCTGAAGTAATTTCACCACATCCTTCCGTTCCTTTTGCAACGCACGTTTGCTAACAGTTTCTACAATTATATCTGGTAGACTGGTGACTGAGTCCGCTAGTTCAGTAATCGGTTTCGCTTTGCAACCATAGCACACTTTAAATCGATGCGATTTTGTGTTCACTGGAAATCGTTCTTGGCAAGTTGCGCATGTTTGTAATGTTCCCCATTCATCTTCTATTTTCACCACTGAATGTCCAAGTTTCTTGACGCTCACCAAAAATTTTCGCAATCCTAGACATCGTTTTTGATCACTTACTCCCTCTAGTTGTTTCTTTTGTTGTATTTTTTAATCTAAGAACTGCACGGTATACAACATTGAAATCAATCTTTTCTTCCATAGAATCAATTTTTATCTATCAAATTTCCATTTTAAGCAAGCTTGAACCAACTTCTGTGGCCATTGAACTATATATTGATTTTTTTCCTTGGTAATTTTACTCCTATTGAAAATTATTTTCATATATTTGCATTTCCATTGTGTTAATTTCAGGTATTTCTCATATTCGTGTTGATATTCCCGTTATTGAAAATGAATCGCGTGGTCTTGATGACTCTCCAAGCTATATATCAGAAAGTATAACTGATATTGAGCTGTCATTTGCTAAAAGTTCATTCGTCTATTTTGAACCAAAAAAAACTACTGAACCGAAAATTATTTTGCCGACACAAAATTTACGAAATGTGTTAGTAACTACTGCGTTACCATATGTTAACAATATTCCACATTTGGGAAACATCATTGGATGCGTTTTATCAGCTGATATTTTTGCGAGATATTCAAGATTGGCTGGATATAATACTTTGTATATTGGTGGCACAGACGAATATGGAACAGCTACCGAAACAAAGGCTATCGCTGAAAACTTGAGTCCTCAACAAATTTGTGATAAGTATTTTGATATTCATAATAGCATTTACCGTTGGTTTGGCATTGGTTTCGACTACTTTGGGCGTACATCAGCTGCCGAACATAAAGGGTAAATTTAATTATTATTTAGCAAAATTTTATTACGTTGAAGTTGATTGTCAGAGTAAATTGTATGTTTCTTGTTCACAATTAGAATTGTTCAACATTTTTTCAAAGAACTCCACAACGAAGGGTTTTTGAAACAAGAAAAAGTGGATCAATTGCTGTGCCAAAAATGTGATCGTTATTTAGCTGATCGCTTTGTTGAAGGAACCTGCCCACACACTGGATGTGGATATGAGGACGCTAGAGGAGATCAGTGTGATAGTTGCGGAAAATTAATAAATGCTATCGAACTTATACGACCTCGATGTAAGATGTGCAACGCAGCACCAATTATTCGGGCATCGAAACAGTTTTTCTTGGATTTGCCAAAGGTTCACTTTAAACTATGAACGAAACTATTGTAAATCTAATTCTACTCTTTTTAGATTGAAGGCAAATTAACGAAATATATCGATTCCGTATCATCTCTATGGACATACAATGCACGTGTTATTACCAAATCATGGTTAAAAGAAGGCCTGAAACCACGCTGCATAACACGAGATTTGAAGTGGGGTGTCCCAGTACCAATGGAGGGATTTGAGGACAAAGTTTTTTACGTGTGGTTTGATGCGGTACTTCATTTTTTTCATAATTCAAATTTCATCTCCTAGTGGTTTATTTAAATAAATAACTATAAATTTTCAAAAAGTTATTCATAAGTGATTTGAAAGAATAATGAATATTTTACAAATTTTATAATCAATCTTCTTATAAGATACTTCATCAATTTTCTTTTTTTCTTTTGGATTCCTTAGGTGCTTGGCTATATATCTATGACCAGTCGATATACAAAGGATTGGAAACAGTGGTGGCAACCAGAAAATCCAGATATTAAAATTGATCTGTATCAATTTATGGCCAAAGATAATGTTCCATTTCATTCTGTTGTCTTTCCATCAATACTATTATCAATGAAAAATAATTTCACTAAAGTCACTCATATAATGGCAACTGAATATTTAAATTATGAAGATGGGAAATTCAGCAAAAGTCGTGGCATTGGCGTATTTGGTAATTTGCTATATTTATTAGGAGATACCCATATTTTAAAGCATCCTAAGATAAAATGACTCACATCCAGATTTACTTTTCTGCACTGTGATCACTACATGCATTTATTCCACATACTTTGCTGTGAATTTGAATTCACGAGCAAAACGAATCTGATCTGGTTCTAGTTTTGACATACAAATAATTTTCGATACATGTTCCATATAAAAGTCACAACAAATTTGAATTTTTGTTTCAATTCCATGCCTTTATTGGTATCTTAATGAGATGAAAATTGTTACAGGTTATTTAAATCTCAAAAAAAGTTCACGGTGATTATGTTACTGCAATCTTATCAATTTTGAATCAACAAAATACAATTAATGTATGTTCCTAGTAATTTAATCACCATAAAAACTTGTGAATCTTAGTTTTTTACCAAAACGAATAATTTAACTAAATTTGAAGAAATGTCAATCAAAAAACGCTGGCTCAAAAACGAAAATTTTAATATAGAGTTAACCTTAATTTGCATTGTAATTTTTTCAAACTTTCAGAATATTATTTCTTCGTGGAAAATAATCCGTGCAAAGTTTCACGTCATTAGGATACAGTAAAGGCATGGCTCCCACACAAAAATTATCGCGATCAATACATATTGCTAAAAAACTAATGAGCTCGTTCCCTCATAGTTTGATTTTAGTTGAAGAGTTATCGTGTTAACAAAAAAGGTGTCGATTTTCCGCCTTTTCAGGCCCTTCATTCTACACCAATTGAACGCCCTAGAATAAAAACAACGTACAGAATGGTTGTTATATCAAATCGGAACACGGCGTTTTTTTTTATATAGAATTGTTGTTGTATTTGAAATGTCCATAGAAAACACGTTTTTGTGTGACTTTAATATTTTGGCCTAATACAATACTTTTCCTACACTAGGTGTGTGAAAAAGTAATATATAATCTTAAAAAATCAACACGAACTCGGACGAACTTGAATTTTAATTTTTGAGTTTCGGGCGGACAAAAACTTGGACTCGGAAAATCTAAAAAATACCATTGATTGACCCAAGCGGGTTTAAATTGAATTTTATTCATTAATTTTATTTTATTAATATAATTAAAAAATTTTGGTCGGTCACTTTAGGGAATGATGCACAAGATACTGGCATCCCAGCAGATGTTTGGCGGTATTATTTGGCTGCTGCGCGTCCTGAAGCTCAAGACTCCAGTTTCAGTTGGAATGATTTGGTAGCTCGTAACAACTCTGAACTCTTAAATAATTTGGGAAATTTTATCAACCGTGCACTGGTCTTTTGCGAAAAAAATTTCAATTCTATCATTTCTACAGTTGTACTTTCTGATATTGAATGTAATTTATTAGTGGTCATAAATCGTGAAATAAAAGGATATATTGCTTGTATGGAAAAGGCAAAATTACGAGATGGAATCCGGCATACCATGTCTATCTCTCGACATGGAAATCAATATCTACAACTTCAACAGCCATGGGTATTAATATTTATTTTATTAAAAATTACAATTCCATTATTTAAAAAATGTTATCCATTCTTCTCATCATAGGTATTACTCAAAGGTTCAGAAGAGGAAAAAAAACGTGCTGCCACTATAATATCTTTCTGTTGTAACATTGCATGTAAGTTTTTAAGTACATAAAAACAATGTTGGTCCTCACTAAATATGTTGGTCCTCATTCATTTGAATTTTTTTTTTAAAGGTATTTTGGCCAGTTTGCTATCACCATTCATGCCGGAGACCTCACGTAAAATTTACAATCAACTTAATATTGAATATGTTCCGTTGAATGTAGAGTAAGTGCCTTCAGTAATTCAACGTTACAGTGCATAACATTTTTAGTAACTTTGGAGATGTAAATGACAGAGTTCACTCACTCTTGCCGTCTCTATACATAATATTTATATATTTACAGCCAGCCAAAGTCAACTCAACGAAACGATTATTTTAGCTATAAAAACACTTCCAATAATTCAATCACTTCTATTGATTTCACTTCAGTTCAAGTTCCAACTTTATCTGACTTCTGAGCTAACTGGAAATATCTTTTTTTTCTTGGCTTTATTGATCCAAATTTATAACTTCAATTAATAACTTTCTAGCTAACTCTTTTTTTTTTCCTTCCATTGATGACGTTGAAAATGACTGAAATACACACATATGTTGCGTTAATTTCGAATGCAATGTTAACAATTGTTTACTACAGTAAACCAGCCCTGCAGCTCTTTTTGAAGTCAGGACATCGAATCGGCAAACCATTTCCGCTTTTTGATAAAATTGAACAAATCAAGCTGGATGAATTGAAACAAAAATATGGTGGATTTCAAAAATCTCAAGAGAAACCTAAAGTGAACTTCAATTTTCAAAATATTGAAGACGCAGAAAGAGCTGTAGATATTCAAGGGAACAAAGTTCGAGAATTGAAGGCATCCAAGGCTGACAAAAGTGTCGTTCAAGAGCAAGTAAAAATACTTTTAGATTTAAAAAAGAACTTAGAAATCTATCGAAACCAGATTGCTTCAAAGTGAGGAACTCAATTTAACAAACAGTTCATATTCATATAACATTGTGTACTTTATTTATTGTATTAAAAATTCAAATAAATAAATTATTCGAATTCTGCATCAGTTATAATTTTTCTTATATAATACATATTATTTAAAAATGTTTGACCATTGCAATGAAGAATGCAGATTCCACATTAATAGCATATTACAGTATAAACTTTATTTATGCTATAATGTGGACCCAATTGTGATAAAAAAGAGAATATCAAAGTGTACCATTGTAGACGCTCCAATTACCAGAACTAATTATGACGGAAAAGAGCCAAAGAAAGCTGTGTTAAAAAATTGGTCGCAAGAAGCATCATTAAATCAGCAAACCAACCAGTAGAATTTCAACTGGGACCAATAGAGTCTCCTGGCTACTATGCTTGAATGGAATTCGAACAGAAGACGACGCAGAGAATGTTAGGGATTAAAAGTTGCTATTTTTTACCACGACAGCCATTTTTCATAGTTAGTTTTTCATACTGAGAATTAGGTAGTGTAGCCAGGTGCTAATATACAATGGAAAACACTATAATTCAGTAGTATTTGGAGGTTTGCCTCTCCTCCGGGAAAGTGAAGACCTTCTTTATCGATTTTTCTTACATTAGATAGACGTCATTAAACGATCTCTTTCATATTTTGCGCACGCAGTGAGTGCATTTATAAATCGTTTGACATATAAGTCACGATTTAGCTAAAATCTGTCAATATATATTTATTACAAAAAAAAAATCAATAAAATTCAATATACTCTGTGTTTTGATACATTTTTATTCCGCTATTTTTTTTCGAAAAATGTCTGATGCTTGGGACGAGATCCAAGCGATAAAAAGCAAAAGAAACAGTTTACGTGAACGTTTAGAAAAACGTAAAAAAGAAAGACAAGATATCTTAGGTAACTCCAGTTGTGCTTTATCCGCATCATTACCGGCAATTATTTCAACGAAAACTGATGAGACGAAATCACAACTAAATGAAATATTTACAACAGTTGACAATGGTTAGAGTGTTCTTTTTAATATTCAAATGTATTTACTGTATATAATGTTCTATGCATTACCATAGAATCGGATCCAGATATTGAACGATTACTGTTACAAATTCTGTCGGACAGTGCTTTATTATTGCCTATAAACTCTACTCAGTTGATTGAAAAAATTAGCTCAAGGCGGTTCAAACCAGTTTCATTGAATACATTAAGCTATTTTCTGCAGAAGTTTGCTACACAAGCATATATAAGGTATGCAAACATCAGATTTGAATCGACAAAAATAAAATAGTCTAATTTATTACAGCATTAAAAAAAATTCCCACTCCAATAAAAATGGATTTGAAGTGTACTTGGTCGATCATTCACGTATACAATCATTATATGGTGAATTACATGATGATAATGATACGAATGAAGTTATTGAGGGTTTCTTAAAACGAAAGTGTAAGTAAATACAAATTTTATATTATATTTTATTATAATAGTTATAGCAACAAACAGTTGTTAAAACATCCATTGCCCATATGTCACTGTAGAATTTGGTCCAATTTGCAATGAAAGAGAAGGATAAAGAGAAAAAATTTCTGTCAGAAAACTATGAATCAACAACAAATAATCTCTATCTATACTCAGTACTCACGTACGGGCCCCTGCTATCCAAACTATCGTTGTACTGTTACAAAGCGTACAACAAGACCACAAAATTTGCAAGCCTTACTATGCTAACTAATCGTTATAATATTATTTTTATATAATTTTTAGATTCAATGCAGTGTTTTGTCAGTTGCGATTGTTTGTAGAAATGTCACCAAATTTGTAGAAATTTCAATCAAAAAAAGATTGGCTCAATCTATATCGATTAAAACGTCTCCGGTAGTTAGTTTATCAACTAGGTAAAATACCTATCTTCAGCTGAGGTCAATGATAATAAAATGTCATACATCCGTAAGATGAACTTTCCCGCACTGTGATCCACAACATGCATTTATTACATATCTTTTACTGTAAATATGAATTCATGAGAAAACTGAATTCGACATTAATTTTGTGATACAAATAATATTCGACGCTCTTTTCATACAAACATTTCAAAAAAAATTGGATTTTTGTGTGGGAGCCATGCCTGTTTAACATCGTAATGATGTGAAACTTTGCACAGGGTATTTTTTTCACAAAAAGCTAACATTCTGAAAGTTTAAAGAAATTTCAATACAATTGAGGGGGACCATCCATACAAAATTTTCGTTTTTGAGAAAACGTTTTTTGTTTGAAATATACATCGAAATTTCTTCAAACTCTTGGAATGTTATTTTAGTGTGAAAAAAATAAGCTGTGAAAAGTTTCAGCTCATTACGATATCATACAGGCATAGCTTCCATACAAAAATCCAAATTTTTTGAAATTTTTGTGTGAAAAGTGTGTCGAAAATTATTTAAATCGCAAAACTAATACCATATTCGGTTTTCTCGTACTAGAAAATCCCCTAATACATATGTTTGAGTGTTTGAGTATACATTAAATGAGAGCCTGAAACCCAAAACAAATTATAAAAATTCTTTTCGGAAAAAGAGCATAAGAAATTATTGAGCGCAAAACGAGAATATAGAAAACTGAGAGTTAAAACAACACATAGAATACTGAGAGTAAAAGTAGCATATATCGATTTGCTGTTTTTACTCTCAATTCCGTATGTTGTATTTTAACTCTCAGTTTTTATTCTTCTCATTTTAGCACTGAAAATGTATTTGTGTTTATTTGGCACCGATAAATATTATATTTGCTTTTCGTCAAAAACATTTTATTTGGATTCGTATAGAACAAAATGTAATAGAAGAATTTGTTTACAAAGCAATAAAATAAACAAAAACAAATGCTCTAATTTCACGTCGCTACTGCGACACGATGAGTTACTGTGGTTCCTATATTTATGCATTGACCAGTGTAAATCCAACAGCAATTTACCGTTATTCGCTAACACACCGAAGATATACAAATATGCTGGTCGTATTCGCACCGAATTTCATGTTGTGTATTATGCGTATCTGTAAAATCTTATTTTTTTTTTAATTGATCTGCAACGACAAAACTATTTGTCGATTTCTTAATTCAAAATTTGAAATTCAAATCATTGTTTTTCAGTTCACATTATTATTAGATAAATAGGCTAGTGAATATCTACTGAACGATCGAAAAAACGTGTACGTAGACCGCTTTTGTATAAAAAATATCGCAAAAGAATATTGTAATGGCGCATACAACAAAAGGCAATAGACAAATTGCTGAAAAAGTGTTCAATGTGCTATCAATCTGTACGAGTTCGGGAAAGTACTGCACCAAAAGTAGAGTACTCGCATCGAAGTTGAGTATAAATGATGTTTTAGTAGTTTCCGGCGATTTCAATCTACCCAAATTGGTTTGGTTTGTTGACGAAGATGAGGACCCTGACATAGCAATAGCGATCAATGCAGCCAGTGAAAAAGAGAAGATAGTGCTGGATACTTGCTATGATCTTGGTCTCCTCCAGATAAACAAGTGCTACAACCAAAATGGTCGTATGCTCGACTTGATCTGGACAAATGATGTTGAGCTGTTCCAGTGTTACATGAGTGATTATCATTTGTTAAATTTTGAGAAGCACCACAATGCAATCAATATTCGATATAATGAACCCGTCATCAAAACTGTTGAAATCAAGCAAACATATAGAGACTACATAAATGCTGACTATAAACTAATAAATGAGTCACTCATTGATGTTGACTGGAATAAAGAATTCGATGAAAATTCATTAGAATTAAAACTAGACAATTTCTATACAATTGTAAAGTCAACAATCGAAACTCATGTCCAGTTAAAAACAAAAATCACCAGGAAGCAACCGATATGGTTTAATAGGCCACTAATCGAGTTGAAAAACAAAGTCAGCAAAGCTCATCGGATTAAAAATAAGGTCAACACAATTGAATCAGTAGAAAATTTTAAACAATTAAGAAGAGAATATAAACACAGTGCACGGTCAGCACTCAAGGATTACAGAATTGAGATGGAGAATCTGATAGACGATGATCCAAAGAAGTTTTTCAGACATGTGAATAACATAAAAGGGAAAAGTGATGATCTGCCGCATGAGATGTCTTATATGGATATGAGGGCAGATGACCAGTCTACAATCGCTGGTTTCTTTGCAAAGCACTTTGCTTCAGCCTACAACTCTTTGATGGGAGATCCACGATATGACAACTCGGAGATTGAAAATATTCGCGACATTTGTGCAGAAATATCACCGATTGAAATAACTGAGGAGCTTGTTGGACAACAAATTGACATGCTTCCGGATGATCTAGTCAGTGGTCCTGATGAAATACCAAATAAATTTATCAAGCATTGTTTGGTTTCATTGCAGGGGCCAATCACAACATTATTAAGAGAATCTCTTGAAACATGCACTGTACCACAGATCTGGAGAACGTCTTTTGTTAGACCGGTTTACAAAAACGGTGACAGAAACAACGTTCAAAATTACCGTGGTGTCGCTCTTCAGTGTATAGTGTCAAAAATTCTTGATTCGATCGTCACGAACCATCTCAATCAATATCTAAAGAACATAGTACACGAAAGTCAGCATGGGTTCATCAAAAATAGGTCAACGATAACGAACTTGGCAGAATTTACATCGAATACGATAATCAACATGGGAAAGGGACATCAAACAGACACCATATATTTGGACATCGCAAAGGCTTTTGATTCTGTGAATATAAAATTACTAATTCAAAAGCTAAACATAATGGGATTGAATACACAGCTGTTAAAATGGATCGAATCGTATTTGTCTGGACGCAGACAAATAGTCAAGATATCAGATACCAAATCAGACCCAATAGAAGTAACTTCTGGTACTGGTCAAGGTTATCCCATTGGCGCAACTTTGTTCATCATGTTTGTAATTGATCTACCTTTCATCGTGACCGATTCATGCATCTTTTCGTTCGCTGATGATACCAAAATTTCAAAATGTATAACATCAGAAGATGACTGTATTCATCTTCAAAGGGATTTGGATCGTGTAGCAGATTACTATGGACGCAATTTATTAAAGTTAAATGTTAACAAAACAAAACTGATATCATATCATCGAGGATTACTGAAATATGAATATAATTACAACGTAGATGGCGTGCAAATTGAAAGAATTGAAGTATTGAAGGACTTGGGAGTATTGCTTGATGTGAAGATGAATTTCAAATCACACATCGAGCATGTTGCTGCTAAGGCAAAATCAAGATTGGCTTGGTTAAAATTCAACAGCAGGGATTTTGTCGACCCATGGACTTTAAAACGCCTTTACTTTACATTTATATTACCGATTATTGAGTATGGATCTGAAATATGGAATCCACACTACGACAATATGTGTAAAAAAATAGAGTCAATACAAAAGCAATTTTTATTGTATGCACTGAGAAGAATGGCCTGGAATGATTTTAGACTGCCAAAATACGAACATAGACTACTATTTCTGCAAATGATTACTCTTGAGGAGAGACGCAAGATGGC